CTTTTGTCAACTCTGTCACTTGGACATCTGAAGTGAAGATCAACAGTGGGAAACTTCGAGGCTACGTTAGAGTAGTAAACAACACTGGCGGGCTCAAAGTCAGAGGATACCTTGGAATACCGTTTGCACAGGCAAAACGATTTGAGCCCCCAGAACCTCCAAAATCATGGGACGGTGTTAAAGACATGGTAACATTGGGAAAATCTTGCCCTCAAGTGCTAACTCCATTTGGGGTATCGAGGGTGGAAGACATGAGTGAAGATTGTTTAAACCTCAATGTGTATGTCCCTGACGACACAAGTAGCTCATCACCTTTGCCTGTCATGGTGTGGATCTACGGCGGTGGGTTTTCTGTGGGTACCAATCGTATATATGATGGTAGCTACCTCGYAACACTCGGTAAAGTAGTTGTTGTGGCCATCAACTATCGTGTGTCGGCCTTTGGGTTTTTAAACAATGGTAAAGACGGTGATATCAAGGGTAACTATGGTATGTTGGATCAGGTTGAGGCACTGAAATGGGTCCAGAAAAAACATCGCAGCGTATGTACATACATTAAATATGTTGATACATCAAAAACTACAATATTTCTCTACAACAAATGTAGAGAATTTATATATAATACTAGGCCACAAACATCCAGTTTGTTAAAGGTTCTTATGATTAGGTTTTGCATCGGGTTTATTTTGCCACACTTGCAGTGAAATTTCGCGCGCCGGTTGGCTGATTAGAGCCGTTGTCAAAAAGAGGACATAACACACTTTGCATACACCATCAAGTTGAAGAGCGTAAAAAATGTTTTCGATAATTGTTTGACTAAAAATGTATTTAAAAAACAAAACAAAAACAATTGCGAATTGTACAAGGTTTTGTCGTTGCATTAAATCTGTACACAATTGGTTAATCATTTCAAATGGCGTGACCCATGACACGGTGTTATTGAACTAATGCTATCTAATTAATTTTGAGTGACATGAAATACTGTAAAGGATCAACATTTAAGTCTATACAAGGGTTCAGAAATTTCGGTTTGAAATGAAAGTTTAGGCCATGCAAATTATTACTAAATGTGTGCATTTTGCGTCGCCATACAAATGCGGAGGCGAGAAGGTGTGGCCTCTGCCTATCTGAGAAGCTTATATATTATTAAGGCACAAAGAAAGAACTTGCTAAACAAAAGATCTGAATTTATATCAAAGTGCAGACACAGAAATAAATTCCTCTTAAAAATGTAAAATAGCTGACCCCATGGGGAAATTCTTTACGCATATATGTAAACATCTCGATTATTGTTCATAGCCTGATGATTGTGTAAAAACATGAAACTTCAAGTCGCTATCCTGCGTGTTTATTTGTCTTCTAGTAACTGTATCTATATTTACTCTACGTTAAGCGTATTGAGCACTCTATGGATGTACGTTTTGGATTCGCTACTGTCTCAATTTGTAAATTTTGTTATGCATATGTTATCTTTCAGATTTAATGGTGACCCCAATCAAGTTACCATATTTGGTGAGTCTGCTGGGGGTGCCAGTGTATCTTTGCTGTTGTTATCAAAGCTT